AGATTTAGAATTTCTCATTTTCCTATCTACTTATTGCCTTGTGATTCAGGCAGGGCCTGCAGACCAGAGAAGAAGCAGAGAACTAGCTTGGTCACTAAATGAGGGCCCCATTTGGACATCTTGAATGCTTTAAAAAAAAAATCCAAATCCTCTTCAGAGCTTCTCTTCACCAAAGGCAGAGAAACCAAAGCCATAGACTGAAAAACTGAACACCTGCTCACTCTGTGGAGCATAAGGATCCTCAGAGTAGTGACCTGGCACATTTTTCTACCAGGTCTGTAGAGGAATTAGGATTTGCTGGTGGTGGACTATGCCTTGGCTGGAAATAAAATTGTAAAATGCCTGGAAAATGTTTCAGTTGTCAACTTAAGTAGAGCAGGACCATCTCCAAGACCTGATTTCTATAGCATCTCATTTTCTGCACTGTGGACTTGGGAATGTTGAGCAAATACCCTTTGAGAACAGTTTTGTGTATCTTCTGTCGATTAGCATCCAGTGCCCCAGAACCCTACCATATAGCACATAACCTTATTATTATTAATGAATTAATACATCTTGGACACTGATAAGATAGGAATTCATTATAGGATCATAGATTTTAGCTGAAAGGCACATTTGAGATTATCTTGATCAACCTCATTTAACAGATGAGGAAAACTGAAGGTAAAATAGATTAAGTGATTTCCCTGAAGTCACTCGAGGGGCAGCTAGATGGTGTAGTGGATAGAATACCAGTCCTGGAGTCAGAAAAACTCATTTTCATGAATTCAAATCTGGTCTCAGACATTTACTAACTGTGTGACTCCGGGAAAGTCACTTAACTCTGTTTGTCTCAGTTTCCTCATCTATAAAATGACCTGGAGAAGGAAATGGCAAACCACACTAGTATCTTTGCCAAGAAAACCCCAAATAGGGTCACAAAGAGTCAGACACAACTGCAAAGGAATGAACAGCAAAAAGTTATATGTATAATGAGTGGCAGCCAGTCCTTGAACCCAGGTCCCAACTTCATTCCAGACCGTGTTCCACAGTTCTGCCCTGCTACTGAGATATACTCCAGTGCTTCATCTTGGCATGGAGGTTGATAGCAGGTTCCCAAAATCACTGTTGATGGAATGTTAGCCCTGGCAGAAATTATCAAGCTTAGAAGATTTCAGATATGGACCCAGTGTTGGACTGTATATCTCTCATTCAAAGATCAGCCTAAGTAAGTTTATAGAGCTTCTTCACTTAGAGAGTAAATAATGAGGTGATTAATTTTTTTTTTCAGCCATAGAAACTTGAAACTGTCTACAAAGGTATGAGGTACTGTGTTCTGCATCAGCGGCAGTGTGCCCATGGTGATGAAATCATAAGTCCTTGAATTATTTATATAATATGTATACACACACACACATACACACATGCACACACATATATATCTGTTTATATACGTGTGTGTTTATGTATATATACACATACACACTATCTTTTTTTTAAAGTTAAATTTTGTTTTATTTTCAAGCAAGAATAATATTTCTCTCTCTTCCTTGCCTCTCCTTCCATCTCTGTCGAGAAAGCAAGAAAAACAAAACCTCTGTTGCAGGCATGTATGGTCAAGCAAAACAAAATTTCTCATTGGGCATATCACAATCTGCAATCACTTCTCTGTCAGGAGGGTAGGCAGCACATTTTTTCACAAATCCTTAGGAATTGTGATGGGTCATTGTGTTGATCAGAGTTCTCAAGTTTTCTAAGGAAACAAGAATTTCTTGGGAAATACACATATTATATCTGTTTTTTGTTTGTTTTGTTTTAATCAGCCAATGTCCATCACATACATGTCTAGTCAATCAAAACAAATTTCCACATTGGCATATATGTATTCTTACCTCACCAAATATACATTTACAGACACCTATTTTATAATATATATGCTCAGATAGATTAAAACCTATGTGCTCTTGGCTAAAAATGCAAGTTTGCCAACCTGCTTATCTTTGGCTGAAAGTTTTGGTGGTGACACAGCCCGTGCCATTTTTGTAGGCAATTAGTGTATCAATCAGCCAGGTAATATTCTATTTATTTATTTTGCTTTAGCAGTGGCAGGAGAGATCTTTGAAGTGTAGGAGCTAATGCTGGAGAGGATATTTTGACTGATACTTTGCATATGTTGAAACCCAGGTTGTTACATTTAAAATTATACACATTGTGAACACTCAGCTTCAAACGAGGGGGAAGAAAAAGCATTCCTTCCTGTCAAAACCTTTTCACTCTGTCTGTCATATAACCCAACTAAAAATAAACTGTAGGCACATAGAACTGGCAGCCATCAGTTTGGAACAAGTTAAGTTCTCTTAACTGCCGGGCCTGTCTCCTGTCTTTTCCAAATCACAAATCAACCCCCTTGCAACTTGGACCTCAATCAGGTACAGAGAAGAGAGAGAGGGTACATGAGCAGGGGCGCTGCCGAATGAGAAATAGCGTCCCGTAGAAGGAGCACAGTGGAGTAGCAAGAGCGCTAAACCAGGGGTGAGAAGACATGGGTTTCAGTCCTATGCCTCCACTAATTTGCTGTGTTAACCTCGGACAACTCATTTGTCCCCTGTAGGGGGTCAAACTGAGGGTTTGTTCATCTGCTAAAGGAAGCTGAGACTTGCTCTTTGTACTTGACAGAGTAGTGATGGAAGGGAAAGGGAATAAGCATTCATGTGCCAGGCTTTAGAAATATCTCATTTGATCCTCAAAACAACCATTAGAGGTGGTGTTCTTATTATTCCCCTTTTACAGTTGACAAAACCAAATTAAATGGAGGTTAAGTGGCTTGCCCACGGTCACATAGCTAGTAAGTGTTTGAGGCCAGATTTCAACTCAGGTCTTCTTGGCTCCAGGTTAAGCAACTATCCACTATGCCACTTACACTTGCCTTTGTAAACCTAAAAGCACAATATAAATGTGAACTCATTATCATCATAAAGTCACTTCCCAATCCTTAAAAGAAAAAAAAATGGCCCCTTGTAGGTGTTGCCACGAATAACTTAGTCAGGAATCTAAATGGTGCTGGAAAGGGCTACCCTCCATCTGGCAAAACATTTTACTTCACTTGGTTATCTCTAGGGAGTAGAAGTAATACAAGCTTCAGATGAGGTTTTTCTTTTTTTATAGCACCATAGATTTAGACCCCAAAGGCTATCGAGTCCAATTTCCTCATTGTACAGATGAGGAAACTGAGACCATGTGATTGGCCGTAGGTCACACAGGAAGTATAAGCATCCAAGCTGGCATTTGAACCCAGATCCTCTGACTCCTGGCCAGTGGTTTTTCCACTGTGATATGTCGCCTTTTGTTTGGGTTGGTGTTTTGGGTGGAGGACAGAAGGCAAGAAGCTATGAGGACTGAAGGTAGCCATGTTGAAGATTTATAATAGTCTCAAATGAAATGCTCTTCAGTAACATCCACAGATATGATCACTACCGTCATAATGAAATGAATAATAGAAATTATCATTTGAAATTTTCCTCTTCTTAACCCTCTCCATTCTCTTGTCCCCCACAAATAAACAACCTTAAAGTTTCTTTTTCCTAGCAATCCAAATAATTATTTCAAATCTTCATTCTGGCAGTAAAGACATGACTTCTCATACTACCTAATTTGTACTTCTATGCAAAAAAGAATTCCACTGGAACATAGATTTATATCATATAAATTTCAGTATACCGTAATTTTGAGTTGAGTCCTCTGGTACATAACTGCATAAAGTAATGAATGGTCTGATATAACTTGGACTTATAACCTTTTATAGCTTATATTGAAAAACAGTTCTTAACTGTCTCTTCTGATCCCTATCTTACAAAGGGTTTCCACTTACTTAGACTATAAGTTCAAGCATTTGTCCACTATTGTCTTCATCCTAGATTGAAAAAGAAAAAAGCAAGAGCGGGGATAAGGGCATAAACTATCTTCCTAAAAATATATACCATATTCTTAATGCCTAGAGAATTATTGCAAAACCAGTGGGCACTAACTAGGTGCCAATGATAGCATTTCCACCATGTGTTGTGTGTTTTTAGTGGTCACCACTGCTTTTGAAAACAAATTCGAAACCCATCTGTGTGTCTTAGGAAACATTAAATATTTCACTCTGCAGTTTATGTAATCATTTTCCCTGTGTTTGATTGAACTTCTACAAATTTCCCTCTCTGATCTTCTGATCAAATGGCAAGGCTACCGTCTTTTGAAAACAGTTACTGCAGTTCAACAGCTGAAATTGATTTTCAACCTTTGGCATTTTTCAGTGTGGATTACTGCAGTAGAGAGACCTCTCTCCATTACCCAAGGCTTGTGTGCAGTGTTGGGAGGGCTGCAGTTGTGGCCAATGTTTGATACATAAACCAAGCTTCTTAAATGTACCCTGGGACTTGATTTTGAAGGGACCAAAAGATTAAAAAGCCCTCCCAGTCCAATGAAGAAATGCCTATTAACTAATCTATTCAGCCTTCTAGACCACAGAAAGGTCCGTTCAAAATACCAGTCAGCCGTCTTCACTGTCTCAGGAGAGCTAGAGTCCTCCCTCTTACTATCTGTGGATTAGTGAGGGACAATTATTTTTTTAACCAAGTTGGGGTTACTGTGGTTGCTTATTAAAGTGTTTTTATTACTGAATGTTGTTGAGTTTTAGGGTGGGCTTTTTTTTTCCTTTGGCAAACTGCTGTATCATACACCTCATTTGCCATCAGCCTGTGTTCCTTTTTTTCCATGAAAACAACAGTACAGAACAAAGCCTCACTTTTAAAAATGCCATGATATTTTGCCACCGTTATGAAAATCTGTCAGCGCCGTATCTAATCTTCTGGTACAGAGAATATCAAAACAAGCACAATGGAAGGGATTGTACTTCTGTTAATACAAAAATGTCAGTTTCACAGCCTCAGAACTAGCCGCCATCAGCCTATCTTAGAATGAAAAAAATACGTAAAGTTTCTTGTCTCCCCCTCCCTTTCCCCGCTTTTACTCTTCCCTAGGCCTGACCTTCATAAGAAGACCCAGAGTAAACACCGTCTTGCTGAAATCTTGCGTTCAGAATACTCAAGTGGGATGGAAGCTGGCGACGCCAAGGTCAAAAAGCAAAACAAACATGGAAAACCCAGCAACCACACACTGCAGAGCTGAGTTGGAGCTCCCAACCTTTGCTGTGGGGGGAAGGAAAAGAAAATCTGTCTCTGTGAAACACTGGAAAAGCCCACAAAGATGTTCTGTGGGCCAGTGAGACTTAGCTAAGACTTCTCAAAAACTGCCTCTGTACATAGCACTGAGCCTCAAGATGGATCCTGGAAGTTCTGGATTGGTAAATGTCCTATTTTTGTTAGAGGAACCTTATTAAAAATAAGCATATTTCTCTTTTCCTGCATACCAAATTTCAAAATGATATAATTGAACCCACACCCATTCTCTTTTGTGAGTGGAGTAAAAATAGAAACCAAGGGGAGTAACATCACAGCAACAATTAGCTAATTACTTGATATCTCTATACTTTCCATTGACCCTGGAAGCAGATTAGTCCTTTAAGTGAGCAGTAGTAAAAATGAAGGACAAAAGAACTCCATCCTAAGTCACTGAACATATTTGGATGTGCCATACAACAAAAGCCTACTATGATACAGGCTAGCCTGTGAAATGAATTAACCCTGCTGTTACATGCCAGTGTTTTAGCAAAGATCCACTGTGTTTTATTTTTATACTATTTGGTACCTTTGGTCTTATTTGTAAAGCACGATTTGTGACTTGAAGAGTAGCTATGTGACTTTGGACAAGTCACATCCCTTCTCTGGGCCTGAGTTTCCCCAGTCACAAAGGGGGCAAGATTTGTTCATTTCTAAGGTCTCTTCCAACTCTCAAGGTATGATTTTGTGAAATGAATGTGTATAAGAGAGAAATTTTATTTCTCAAAATTTTCTTTCCCAATGCATACATGAAGTGGTCTGTAAAAAGGACCAAGAATCATTTTGTGAAAATAATCAGAAATACCACAGTATTGTGGTATACCCTGAGCCTCCTTATTTTCTCTAAATATGTTGCTGTAAATACAATGTCACTTTTCTATCATTCCTTACATTTATTCCCTCTTCAGTGTTCCTCAGAAAAGGTATTCTTTCAGGGCTAATTGATTTACTGTTGTCTTTTTATTATTTGCCTTTGAAGTCAAAAGGCACCAGTGCCCCTGTGTTTTTCTTCCTAGTGAAACCCAACAGGGTTCCACAAGAGGCCTGGGCTTCTTTGTCTTGTGACCTGGGGCACAGCTTCCCCATTGGGTCTGGCTACCAGGCTGGTGACAGCCCCTCTCCCCCTTTGAGAAGTATTGATTTCCCAATAAATGTAATATTTACATACAGGAAATGCTAGAGAAGGCCACAAGAGAAAGGGCTAAAAATCTCAGCAGTTTTCTTCATGTTGAAGAGCCCTGTGCAGCAGCTTGACTTGGGCATTTCCTGGCCATCCTCCTCTATGATTACTAAATGACCATGTCTAGATTTTCTGTGACAAAGTTCTGAGATATTCCAAAGGAAATGCCAGCTTTGAATTAGCTGACTGACCAGTAGGGTAATGTAAGCTTTGTGAAGATTCATATTTACAAAGTGATAAAGGGGAAGGGTGTCAAGTTTTCCTTTTCTGATAGTGGGCAGATTCAAGGCAAATGTCATCTAGAACACTGCCACAGAAATGACTCAGAGTATGTGAGGTAGAGTGTGAGCCTAGTAAAAATTGATCTTCTGCATGAGGAAAAATATGACCTTCTCAGAGTCAGCTGTCACATATGAATTAATAGGGGCTGTTGGTGAAATTTATAACAATAATAATAATAATAATAATAATAATAATAAAAAACCCTGCAGCAATGTCAAAAATGACTTTGGACAAATCTGCCACCCTCTCTTTTATTTTGATGCATAATAGTTCAAATGATTTGGATGAGAAAAGAAGAGATCAAACTTTTTATAGACAAAACCCAGCTGTGTGGGAAATAAGATTAATGCCAGCGATTGGGGGTGATCAAAGGCAAAAACCTACATGTTTTTTCAAGTATTCATTCTATTAAAGGATGAATAATCATAAGGATATTCCACATTCCTGGAGTAAAAAAAATGCTATAACTATGCAAAGGGCATATGTGTGTATCATTAGGGGTATGTGTGTGTGTGTGTATATATATATATATATATATATATATGAGTGTGGGTGTAAGTGTACACATATATTCAAACTATAAACCCCAACTTACTTTGCTGATAATAGCTTAAACGTTTCATCTCACATTAAGATGATGCCTGGGTATATTTCTGAGCAGAATCAATATCCTGCCCCCCAGTTAATAAAGAAACAAGGATTTAGCAGATTTAAGGTTAATATTATCTGAGTTGGAATAACCTTAAAAATAAATCTTTCTCTTATTATAGCTCATGAAAGATTATACATTTCAGGCATCAATTAGGCAAAGCCTTTGCCTAATTCCATTGTACATATTCTAATTTTGTGTGCATTTTTAATCATCTATTTTCTCATTTCCCAAACTTGTCTCTCTCATTCTCTGCTATGCTCCTGTTTCTCGTATTTAAAGACTCACAGAAGTTGGGCATTTAAGGAACTGTTACAACCCACAGTTCTTTTCCCTGGTGGATTGTATAGAATTCCTTTCCTGGTTCCCAAACATCTTAGTATTTGCAACCCCTAATGGTTGCAAATCTTCAGAAGGGACCCTCATTTCTCATGCAGTGAAGGGCAAAGAACCTTTGGCAAAATAGGTGCCTGTGTGTGATCTAATTAAGTCAGTGCTGATGTAATGCAAACAGCAACTTCCATTCCTATAGAACCAAGTTCAGACTAAACCTCAGCAAAAGAAATTTCTACAAAGCCCAGTGAGTTCCTTTGAATTTTTTTAGGGAGCTGGTTGAAGGGTGAAGGAGAGCCATTTAGTCAAATGACTGGAAAATGGCTAATGTCCTAGATTTCTGGATTTTAGTTCCTTTACATGTAGTCAACAAAAATCACTAAGGTCCCAATGTTTATTTCTCAAAGATAGAAAAATGGGACTCTTCCCCTCTGCCCTCCAAAAAAATTATTTGGTTTCCTATTGTTTTGGAGATATTACATCATATTCTTTCTTGGGAAGCAGCTTTACTCCCTCTAGCAAAAGTTCCTTTAAGATCCTTACACCTTTTCTGCTATTGCTGTTGGGTTGTGGGGGAGGATTTAGGGCTAGGCCATTTAAAGTTAGCTTGACTGGTTGCAGTGTGGAGGAACTTTAAAGTCCATTTGACTTTTCCCAAAATGTCCACAAGAGCTTTTCTGTCATAGACTGTTTGTAGCAGAGGATTCAAAGTTACTTTGGATTCCACATCTTCCCATGCAAGGGACCACAAGGCACATGTCTCTCTGGGGGTGTCTGTATGTTGTAAGGAGAGGATTGGAGAAAAAGGTGGGCCTTTTCAGGAGCTACCTTTTTCAGTACCTCCTCCAGAGGCTCCCTCAGACTCCTCTTCTCTGTCTGAAATCACCCAGCACCAGGGTCCAGAACATAGAAACCAAAGTGAACCTTTTAAATATATGAAAGTTAAAAAAAAAAAGAACCCTGCTTTACCATAAAGGTTGTAAAGTTATTGCAGGTGGGAACTGGCAGGACAATTTTAAATATTGTAATTATAAACTTGTCGGGAAGCCTTGTTCTTCATTAATGTAAGATATGAAATCGCCTCTAAGGTACAAGGACAATTAAATAGTTGAGAATATGTCTGTGATTTACACTGCTGCTGTGTAAATGTAAAGATGGTTGCTCTATTCTATCTCCTTCACTTTCACAAAATGAAAAGCACACCAGTGCAAGTTGTCCTTTGATAGATTTTTAATATGATTTTAAAGAGTTTTGTTTGGTCTCATTCTTATTCAATGAGATTAATTTAAAGCACTTATCCCCTGGGTTTAAGTCAATCCATGTAGGATTTGGACAGGGTTTGTTGCATGGGGGGGTTTTGTTTGCAGGAGGCTATGAGAGACTCCTTTCCCACTTCATTAACCCTGAGTTGGGGACAATCCCCCCATCACCCCCACCACATCCAGAGCCGGGGATTTACCAACCCCCATTCACATGCAAAAGAACCCGAATGCAAAGGGGCTGTCTTGACTTAATTAGCTGCTGTGCATTTTGCAAAATTATAATAATACCCTCACCATCCCAAGGAAGAAAGAGAGGGGTGTGTGTGTGTGTGTGTGTGTGTGTGTGTGTTGGATAGGGTGGGGGTAGGAAACAGTTGCAGACCAGGAGCTGGCTCTGGTTTTAATGAGGGTCTGTATACTACAGTTTCCCCCCCACCCCTCAGTCCCCTCCAAAGCAGTTTTTCATCTCCCAGATCTTTCCTGTCAACAAAACTGGAAGGGTCTCTGGTTATTGTTCCACTGAAAGGCGATTCCCAGCCCTGAATGTTTCTCCTTTCTTAGAGTCTGGTGCCTCCCCCACCCTTAGCATTTTGAGGGTCAGGGCGTCTGCAGGTTGAATGCTGGACTGGATGGGGAGAAGGAAAGAGGGGGGGGATGTTGGTCCACTAAGAGCACCTGCTACCTCCCCTGAGATAGGAATGATTTCCCCCTGAATGTGGGCACAGTCTGGAGTCTGGCTCAGGATTTAAATCCAGCCCCCTTGGGATCCTGGCGTTGAGGTGAGGCAGAAGCTAGTGGGGAGGGGAGAATTGCCACCCCCCCCTTATCCTAAACCTGACTCCAAGGGTAAATGGGAAGTATAAAGGGAACCAGGTCGGTGAAGCATTACTAAGGTGCCTCAGGTTTAAAGGAACGGAGTTGGAAATTTGTCTCTGAATTCCCCGGGGCAGCTGGAAGGTGCAACACTGAGCCGGGGTTAGAAGAGTTCCTCGTCTTGTGTCCCCAGCCGGGGGGGGGGGGGGGGGGGGCTGACAGTCCAGAACCAGGAAGAGAGTGACCCGGGCGGGGAGGGATTGATAGTGGGCAACGGGTGCCACGTGGGGGGAGAGTGGGCTCTGCCTCGGCGCCCATCTGTCGTTCACCTCGCCCATCGGGTCCCGGTCACCAGCTGCCGGCGCATGGTCCCGGACAGATGAGCTCACTTGGGGAGGGCGAATAGCAGCCCAGCCCGCTGCAAAGTGAGCTCTCGGACAGTGACCCCCTTCCCTACCCGTCTCTCCATCCCCCACCCCTCCTCCTTCTTTACCTCTCCTCCCAGCCCCGGCCCCCTGGAACTCTACCTTCTTGGGACTAACGCCCCAAGTACCCAAGTGATGTAGGAAAGGAAAGCAGTTTTGGTCTGGCGAGGGAACGGTTGTAAGGAGAAGGAACCAGGTGAATGGATCGAAGGGGAATAAAGGGGAAAGAGAGAAGGGGGGGCTGGAAATGGAAGAGAAACAGAAGGGAAAGGTAGAAAAAAATAGAAAAATGGGAATCGAATGAAGAAAGGGAAAGGGAGGAAATGCTTTGTTGATGGGGCGGGGAAATAGAAGATTGAGAGGGGAAAAGGTGAAGGTTAAAATGGCATCAGTTTGCGGCTGAATGAAGGGAGAGGCCAAAATGTAAAGGGCATGAAAGCAAAAGGCTGGAGGGGCAGAGTGCTAGGCGAAGAAGCAGCGTGCACATGAGCAGGCTTGTGAATTTGTAAGAAGTTTATTTCGACATTTAAAAAAGAGAGAGCGCGAGCCCAAGGGACCTGGCTGGCCCAGGGGCCCAGGCTGGAGATTGGGGGCTGCATAAGCAAGTCTCCTTGGCCCCTTCCTGCCACGTCCGGGAGCGGGTAGGGGCGCAGGCTACAGACTCACAAATTCACGGACACGGTCACGGGCTCATGGGTCACAAATAAATAACTTCATATACACTTTACACGCGGTATGTACAGCTCGGCCCGACCCGGTCAGCCTCTCCTCTGGGCCCGGCCGGTGCTCCCGCTGGGGGAGACGGAGAGGAGAGGGGAGGGGGGCGTCACTGTACAAGCAGTGGTCTGCGTTTTCCTCCCTGCCCTCCCCATTCTGCAGGTTTCGGGGAGGAAGAGGCAAATATACAGCAGGAGGCCAGGAGCCAAGGAAATAGGACAGAGCGAGCAGCTCGTGGTTCCTTCATCCACCCACCCACCCAGTCTGGGGTAAAGTCAGGGAGAGGAGGCGCCTTACGGGTCAAATTCCCCGGAGATTAAGGAGAAAGTTGAGTGGGGGCAGGATGGAGAGCGGTAGGAGAAAATGTATGCACAGAGCCAGATACAACCCGGCTAGGGCAAACTGACCCCATCCTCGGCTGGTTTGAGTGAAGTGAAGCAGGGGAAGTCAGCCACTGGCCATATCTGGGAGTACTGACCTTTGGCCCTTTGTGGGGGAGCTGTTCTGGAGTGATGAGGGGATTGGGAGAGTTTATGCTCTTGGCAGGGAAGATTTTCAACACCCACTCTTCCAAAAGAGGGCTTTGGGTAAAGGACGTCTCCCCTCTGGGCGTGCAGCGGATTCTGCTCTCCCTTGCCTCCACACTCTCGGTATCAATGAACTGGGGTGAGGTGGGGGGCTGCGCGGCCCGCGTGGAGAGGGAGAACTAGCGCCCGGGGGTGGCTAAAGCTGGGGACTGAGGCTCACCGGGGCTGTGCCGCTCGCGGGAGAACGCCCGCGAGTGGGGGCAGGGGAGGGGGCGGCTCGCTGGCTCCCTGGAGTCCATGGATAAGGATGCGGGGCACCAGAGGTCTCTGAAGTGCGGGCGGAGGAGCGCTGGGGCCCCGGTACAAGTAGAGGGCTGCGCCAGGGTCCAGATTGGAAACCAGGCTCTGCGGGTAGAAATAAGGCGACGGGAACATCCGTTGCAGCGCTGAGTAATTGCCTGCCTCTGCCAACAGCTCCAAACCCACAGCCGTCTGACGCTTCCATTTGGTTCTGGGGATGGAAACAGATACAGAGTCGGATAAGGGAAGTGGGCGCCTAGACGCCAACTCCTGGATCCGGCTCAATCAGCCACAGCCATCCCCCGTCCAAATTCGGAACTGGCAATGGAGATGGATCGGGATGTAGGCCCAATGAGCTCAATTGACTTCTCATTGGGAGAGGAGCTAATCTAGGGAGCAGATGAGGAATTGAGCAAGGACACGAAAAAGACAGGGAAAGAAACAACAAAAAGGGAAGTGAGGAGAGAGGAGCTGAGAGAACAGAGGACCGGAAAGGTCAAGAAAGGAAGGGGAATTCCGAGGCTGGTAATGGAATACCCCAGTGACAGTTGCCTGAACCGAGAGACCGAGGGAGAACAGGAAGTGGGGTGGGACGTGAAGCAGAAAATAATCCGATTGTTGTACCCTCTTGATCTGATCGACTTGCTCCCAAACAGCAGAGCAGGCATATTTGCAAGAATGATGGTAATGATGATGGCGATGGTGATGATGCAAATAATCATGTAGGACCCAAATGAACAGAAAAGCAAAACTAACTCCCAGGAGCCTCCTACTCCAGCGAAATTCCATCCGAGTCCCACGATTACTTTGGAGAGAGGGACAATTACTTTGGAGAGACGGGCCATGAGAGATGAGAGACGCGGAGGCTCGATTGCCCGATTTCCACGCCTCCCCAAACCAGGGTTTTGGAGTCGCGATCCTGGCCTGACGCCCCTATGACCCAGGGTGAGGCAGGCTGTGAAAAGGGGACGGGAGACGGGGACCCAGTATCTTCACCTTCAAACAGGACCAACAATCCAGGGGAGTATGAATGAGGTTTGGGGCACATTTGGGGGCTTGCAGAATTGGGTGATACCTCACTAGCCAAAGAGTTAGAGGCGCTGTTGACCAGAGGAACTCAATGCCTACTTCTCCATCTGCCCCCCTGGAGAATCGGAAATAGAAGGAAGTGGGGAACAGAGATCTGCTAGCTCCAAGCCTCCTAACAAGGTCAGGGACTTCTTAATCCCTGAGTTTCTGGTCAGGCAACTAATGGGAGTTCGGAGGCCGTGAGCTGGGGGTGCTCTCTGTGACACAGCGTTGAACCCTGGGATTCTCAGACGGAGCCGCTGCATCATCCCGAGATCTCTTCTTGGTCCCTCTGTGGTCTGGGGCTCAAGGAGCACCAACCCAATTTCCTTCCCTGAATTATTCATCATCATCATAATTGTGTAATTACTGTAACCGCCCTTAATTATTGATGCCCAGAGCAGTAATCGGTGTTTATTATTAATAGCTCTATGTGTTATTCGTCTTGTTTAGGGAAAGCGCTTTTCGGCGGAGACTAAGGGTGAAGCTGGGAACATCTTCAACTCTTGGGTCATTTGTAACACCCTCCAAAGAAAGTACCGATTTTTTTTTTGCACCTTTTCCACGGGAGTTCAAAGTGTTTCTTTGCTAATTAACCCTCACCGTGTGGTTGGTGGGTGCCTAAGGATAGTGCTGAATTCTCCTCTCTAGGGAAACAGACTGTGTCGTCCACCACTGCACAGAGGAAAGCTACGATTTGAGCCCAGGCCTTAGGAATCAAACCGGAGTTTTAGCTCCTTCTCTTCCTAGATCTCTTCCTTGTAGAAGGCCGATTTCGAACAGGCACGCCTCTACTTGTACTCTCTGTGTTGCGCTCAGTCTTGATTGCTGCTCTGACCTCTGCTTTTCTCTCCTCTCTAATCCGAGTTTACTTCAGTCTTGCTCTGTGTCCCGAGTACCCGAAGCGGGAAGGGCAGCTCGCTAATTTTCACTCCAGGATGGACAGCAAGGGTCACAGAGGTCAACCCACAGACCCTCCCAACACTGGCCAACTCCAGTTCCCCAGTGACGTAGGGGAAGTGCAGGTGTCACAGGTAGAGCTGGCTGCTGAGTGCAAGGCCATCTAAAGAGCCTGGGGACCAGATTGAGGGTGAGGAGAAGAGTAGGGAGAGTAAGGGGATGGGGCTGGCAGAAGAGCACAAGGGTAGGTCTAGTCGACTACTTTGTACTTTGTGTATGTGTGCGTGTGTTTGTGTTTTATCTCTCTTTGTGATGTCCGTGCAACTCTGCAACTGTGTTACGTCAGAGTTTATGCATTGTGTACGTCTAGTCTGTAATATGTCAATGCTCTCATTCAGGTCCTAGCTTTTTGGGATAATAGTCATAGAATCATAGATTTAAGACGAAAGTTGTGTATTGTGTCAGTGTGTTCGTGCGCTTTGTCTGTATGTAGTGTGTGGGTATCGAGTCGGTGGTGTGTAAGTTTTGCCTCTGGGATGAAGAGTGGATTAATGAGGGGTGGGTTACAGGCAAGGGTTGGGTTTCAGATCATCCTCCCCAATCCCAGACCCCAGAGGTCTTCTGTCCAACGCCCTTTTGGGGGCCTCTCGGGCTCCTCACCTGCGATTCTGGTACCAGGTCTTGACCTGCGTGTCAGTGAGGTTGAGCGAGGCGGCCAGCTCCATACGATCCTGCACGCTCAAATATTTCTGCCGCTCGAAGCTGCGTTCCAGCTGCGCCAACTGATGGTCCGTAAAGGCAGTGCGAGCTTTACGAGGCTTCTTCAGGCGCACAGGGGGACTATCCCGGGAGCTGGAGATTTCTCGGTCGCCTTCTTCTTTCACTGGGGAAGACAATCAAGGGGTCAAGACAACTCTACCAGATCTGATAACTAGCTACTCAGCTTCCCGCCCCTTTCCTGGAGACCCAGTTTCACCCTGCTTGAGTGAAAAACTAGTCCAGGATAAGTAGTCCAAACTTCGCCGTCCAGCTGCCTTTGTGCTTCCTAGGCTAATTTCACAAGGTGTTGATTTATTTGCAAATGTTACTTCAAATGCTTGTTTTTTTCCCCTGCCAGTAAGAAATCCGCTCCCAGCCTGGGTTGGCTCCTTATTCTTCTGGCTAGGCTTATCTGAGTTAGGGTCTCTACAACAAAGATAGAAAAAGACAAGGTTGAAGGTTTAGGAAAGAAAAGACAACGAAACCTTGGGAAAAGTTCTTTATAACTTTCTGCTTTCAACGACCTCTACGTCTGTCTTGTCTTTCTATTGAGCTAGGAAGTGTGTGTATGGGGGGGGGGTCTCCAGAGCAAGCTCTACCCATGGCATTCCAGAGCATGGTTCTGTTCCTCTAGCTCTGGGGTGGGGGTGGTAAGTAAATTAAGCAAAGGAGAAGACCTCAAGTGAGAAGAGTGGAGGGGGAAAAGAGTCTGAGATAAAACAGATGTGCATGTGAACTCAGCTCGAGTGTTCTCTTTCCAATCGAGCCTCTGGACCTGCAGGATCGACTGTGCCTCAGAGGGTCAGGGAAGCGCAACCTTCTCCCTTCTTTACACCCCACCCCCCATGGCGAAAAGGATCATAAGATCATAGGATCATGTGCATAAAGGGCTGTGTGATGCCAAATTAAGGAATGAATTGGAAAACAGGACCAAAACCTTAAGGATGAATTTCTTATCCTAATTCTATGTAAGACCACATCCTGCTCAGAATTCTGTACCCTACAGCAACATAGGCAGAGGTCTCTGTGCTCGGGGATCACATATTACACCACATGCAAAAAAAAAAATTAAAAATGGAATGTACTCTAAGGTTTGAGATAAGAAAAATACACACTTATCATATTAACGTGTAAATTGATGACCACCTACAATATATTTTTAGTTTGGTGCATACAAATGCGCATTTTAGGAATGTGTATATAGAGCAATATATCAGAGCTGGAAAGGACCTTGGAGACCATCTCGTCTAACCCCCTCATTCTACAGATGAGGTCCGACATGGATAAGTAATTATTTGTATGATTTTAATATATGTATATAATGTGTGTATGTATAGAAATATTTTGACTACAAATAGGCATTCATGTTATATATGTGTGTGTATTTAAATGTTACATACAATAAAATATATTGTATAGAAGCATATAACATGTGTATTATGTATGTATATATACATAATATACCAGAAACAATGAGTGATATTTATAGCATTAGTAAGTATCTTAACGTAAAAATGTGGTTTATGGGGTATCTATTTTACAGTGCCCCACAAACACCTGTCTCTTTCCTCTCTAACCCAAGTGTGCTGGCTATCAGACATTTCATTGCTTTACAATAGGGATGTTCTACACCCTAAAACTGAATTTCTCTCTCTCTCTCTCTCTCTCTCTCTCTCTCTTCTCTCTCTCTCTCTCTCTCTCTCTCTCTCTCTCTCTTCTCTTTTCCTTTGTCTCTTATTCCCTCTCTCCTCCCCTAAAGCGATTAAGTAACCAAAACGGTCCCTTTCCATAAATTGGTAGAGGAACAACATCCCTGGGTTCAGTCCTTTACGGTAAATTTCATTGTGAGCTGCTTTAGTGGTGACAGGGCTTGAGTGGAATACGAGTTGATTTCTCTCTGTAGGGAACAATAATCCGGTTAATTGAGCCGCTAGGGAGCAAAACTCCTCAACTGGTAAGGCAGTGGCTTTCAGCCTGGGAGAGGGCCGGAACTCAGCGCGGAACTGAGGAAAGAGAACGCTGGGGAATGCTAGCTGAGCTCTCAGGAGGGAGAGGCTGGAGCTGGTGAGAGAAACTAGGAAGAACGAGGCCAAGTACTTAAGCTATGTCTATTTGAGCGAAGGGAAATGGAGAACTGAAGCAATTTTCCGGATACTTTCAGACCCAGACTTAGTATTCTGGAGGAAGCGGGTGTTTCCCACTCGATCTAGATCGGCTGTCGAATCATATGGCTGGCCGCTTCAGTTCTCCTCCAGTGAGGTCCTCACCCAGGGGTTAGGCGAGTTTGTGTGCAGTGTTAGGAGGAAAAGACGGCTGAAGTTTAAGGTGGCACTTCACAAGTCTCCTGGCCTGTTTGGCGACTTTGGGAAGCAGGGGAGTCGGCTGAGAAAAGTAACTCAAACTGACGGAAATATTGTCACATTAGTCGCCTTCCCTTTCCCAAGTCATTTTCAAGTAATTCGTACGAAGGCGCAGTAGCCTAACCCGACCTGGAGACAGCCTATTGTTTCGAGACCGTGAGCAGAGGACGCCCCAGATTAGAGTTTCGGTACTTGTTTCTACAACGCGATTCCGTAGAATTTCCCTGCTGCTTCACGCAAATATCCATACCTTCGAGATCTATTTCCTCTCCTTTAAAATTGCCCTTGGTTACACAACAAGGGGGACTCATAAGAGAAACCTCGGGAGTCTCGTGATTTTTTCCCCCCGCTGTCGGCGGGCCTACAGAGGAAATCGCTCTTAACAGTGTAAACGAATTTTGTCCACTTCATAGGCTGCGGTATACATTTTATAATTTGTATTTCTGTCAGTCTGCCCTCCGTCTGCCTCCACAATCAGAAACGCCCTTCACTAGATAGAAACACTTGCTGCCGAGTTGTGGTCATCGTTTGTTCCCTGTTCCTTCTAGTGTTCCAGTCCCCAGTATTTTCCATCTGGACCTTCACTTCCCTTCTGGGATGGACTTCCAAGTACTCCATAAATTTTTGGAATTGGGTGTGCATATACCTATTATACATTTTATATTTGGTATAAGCACAGCTTCATTACCCTTATTAAAGAGAGTGGCTATTACAATTTTCAGAATCAATTCTCATTTAAATTCGGCAAGGATGCTAAAGAAAGAAATAGGATGGCATAACGCTTCGTATTTTAACTCCCCACACGCACTCATACACACAGAGGACAGCGGGTTTTGTCCTCCTCCTGAAGTCTGGAGTTGGAAATAACCATCTGCAGCAGGCCAGCCCCTTTCTCTAAAGCTAGTGTAACTCGCTCTGAAAACAGTTCTTTGACAAGAGCAGAGCTGAACAGAGAACAAATACGGAAGCTTTTCCCGCTTGTTTCTCACATTCCTTGAGATTCCCTGTCTTACGGTAGCTCTTGCCCAATGCACTTTCTTCTTTGTTCCTCCAAACCCCTGTCTACACATCCCAGCCCTGGAGGAACTTCCTGGTGGCTCTTCTTTGGGAAAGGATTTGGGGATAGTGTCGGTTGAGGAGTTTATCTTGATATAGGATTCTGGACCGCATAGTCTGATTCCCTAAAAAGCAAACGATTTCTCCTCTCCCAAAGCCCTGCTCCCAAAGCAAGCCGCTTGTAGAGATTTAGGATAGGAAAACAGATATGCGGACTCCAAAGAAAATAAAGGGAACTTCATAAGGAAATTTCATCCTGAAGAAAAGGATACTGAAATTAATTCTGAAGTGAAATGGGAGCTCCTTGCTGCCCACACTTTCAGCACAGTTAACCAGCAGGAAGAGAACACAGGTCCTACTCCACAGTAGACTCCTGAGGCTCCTCTTGCCATTTTCCAGGGTCTCGGAGAAAGAAATTAGTGCCTCTTGCTGGAGTCCAAGTAGTTGAACCGTAATGAGGGTGAAGAAGAGAAGCCAGTCATAACTTTCCCTTCTTCCTTTCTCGCTGCCCTTACCCTACCTTTCCTTCCCACTCAGTTCCCCGTGAGGTGAAAAGGAGGAATAAATTAACCAAGACAAGAACGAAAGTTAGGAGACTGACTCAGGAGGGAGCAAGGAAGGTGAGGTAGTTAGACAAGAACCAAAGGACCACCTGTCTCTCCGAAGTCCCTGAATTCAATGTTCAGGTCCATTTACAATTAAATTCAGTGGGGTGGGGTGGGGGAAAAATTAGCGCGTCCTCCTAGGATTTCCCGTCTTCCGGGCCCTCTGGCTCCTACCCCAGTATCAAGGCTCCCCCTAAATACCCCACCCTTCTGCTGGCTCATTTCTCTGAACTTAGTATTTCTGCTTGACTCCCTCTGTCCCCTAATGGTCAGAGACAGGGCAAGAAGAGAAACTTGTTGCCCATTCTTTGATGGAAAAGTAGACTAAAGGCGGAGAAGCCCTGGCCTCATCTGGCCTCAGTGGAAATTCTGGTGAGGACATAGCCTACAAAAATTAGTTTCTAGCTTCAAATAGGGACATTTAAATTAAACCCATAGGTCCCGGAATTGTCCCATCGAGGACGGGTTTTTTTGTTCGTTTTTGTTTTTGTTTGTTTTTGTTTTTGTTCTGGGAAGGGACCAAAAAGCTGTTTCAGTGGGTCAAATGTCTCAGGAGGAGTACTCCTGACTGTTTTATAAGTTTGCTTCCTGCCCCGTTAAGAGCTTGATCTGATTCTCTCCCTGTTCCCTATTTGTCCTCGTTCAGATTTCCTCGATGGGACAGGCAAAGGGCTCCAGAAAGATACCATATGATCAAGTGTCCAGGCTCCTCTTTTAGGGATATTGGAGAGGGTGCCCAACTTGAGAATGGTTGTTTACAATACTTTGTGGCTCCTGTTCCCTCCTCCCCTGTATCTTAACCTTCTCACCTCCAGACTGCTTACCTTTATACTCCGAATCAGAAGAAGAGTTGCTACCACCTTTGTCCAGTTTGTCTCTAAAGTCCTCTCCAGGCTTGGCCGAGAGGCGGCCCCCCGGCTCCTGGGCTGCGGGCTGCCCGTTGCTGGAGTAGGGTGCGCAGGCTGCCAACGGTTTGCAGTCGGCAAGTATGTCCCTGATCAGGAAGGAGGAGGTCACCGAGCGGGATTGGGACGGAGCTGACAGCTGCCCGGGCTGCAGGTGGGAATCTAAACCCTGGCCAGACCCTCCTACCGGCCGTGGTGCTCCTGTCTCCAGACAGTCCCTTCTTGGCGAAGCAGGAGATGAGCATCCGCTGCTGCCTTCCGATCGGGGGCTTAGCTCCAGGGGTGAGCGGCAGTCCCCGATCAGGGGGTCCCCCTTGGGAAGGGCGGGGCTGCCTGCTCTGTGCGAGAGGATGGAGTCGATCCCAAATCCATTGGAGCCTTCCATAGCCAAGCCGCTTCCTTTCCTCCCCAGAACCTCCCCACCCACCCACCAACCCCAGCAGCCACCGCCCCTGCCCCTAGCTGAGGGCTGGCATGGGGCAGGCGGGCAGGGAGCTGGCGGGCACGTTGGACCGAGTTCAGCCTTGGGGGAGCCGGGGAGCTCTGGGCCAAACGCCTTTGCGCATTAGATCCACAAGGGCTCAGCGCTTCTGCAGCATCTCGAAGAGCTGCGGTGCCTGAGGGGGGGTGGTGGGAGTGTCGGGGAAGGAGAACGGGGGATAGGGAGGGAGAAAGCGTCAAGTTTTGGGGGACAGAAGGGAAAGTTTCCGGCCTAGGTTTCCCTTTGACAAAGAGAAAAGTGAGTAAATAAAATCTAAATAAAATAGAGGTTTGCAAAAGAAAGAAAGAAAAGAATAACAATTACAAAGTACTGCAATTGAAGCCTTCTTCCTGATGAGCAGTTCACAGAGAGCGGCTAGTCAGCACCACGGACAGCAGTATGTCCCAGGCGCCCAGGCTTCCAGCCGGTAAGGCACAGCGCACCTGACGGCATCAGAACCTTGGACAGCAACTGAGCTCAAGACGCAAGCCACTCCACCTGGCCCACCGGCTCTTACTTCCTCCGCTTCCGCAGCCTTGGGCGAACGTTTCAGCACCTTGGACAGAGGTTCTGGCAAATCAGGCCCTCTAGACTGCTCTCGAAGTTCCTCCGTGTGCCGTACTGCCTCCCCCCCCCTTTTAAAAAATGAACTTGAGTCACTTTTTCTTTGGCGTTCGGTATTTTTGGGTGTAGTTTTTTTTTTCGTTTTGTTGTTTTTTTTGTGTGTGTTTTTTTTTAAAAGGGGGGACTCGCCCACGTGTCCCCGGAGCGGTGGCGCTGATTGGTTCCGGGTGATTTTGGGGGTGATGTCACGGTTTCGCAAGAAGGAGCCTGATCCCCTTTCAGCTTGATTAAAACAGACACTGAATTAATTACAGTCCAGACCCAACTGTTTACCGGCGATTTCCACACGGTTTGCTTTCATTAGGCCGCTGATGAAGCTTTTAATGAGGGGTGATTAGCCAAGGGGGGTAAGGGCTGGTGTGTAAGGGAATATGAAGCTGCCGCCGGTGGGCTTGGGTTGTATTTTTTTTTTCGGGTAAGTTTTCTCCGATCTTTTCCCACAGTTAGCCAAATCACTAGTTCATCGAGCTTTCGTGGGTCCTTTTTCCCACCACTTTCTCTCTTCCCTCTCCTAACATAGGAGTCGGAGTCGGTGTTGAGCTGTCGGGGATGAAAACTCCTTTCCCAGTAAGGTGTGTGTGGGGGGGGAAGTTCTTAAAAAGAAAAAAGTTTACGTTCTTCACCCGCTCCCTATTCAGCCCATAGTTGATTTTAATCGTCCCTTGTTCTATGCACCATGCCTCTGCCCCTTCTCTCCCTGGGTGCAGTGGTGGACAGGAGATAGGTCTTAACAAAAGCTCAGTTTCTTCTGTTCCGGGTGGCGGCAGGAAGGGGTTCTTCACATCTAGAAGTGGGGTTATAGGGTAAAGGGATCCGGGTGCTGCCGATTTCTGGGCTCCTGAGACGGTATAGGCTGAAGGAAGGAGAAAAGTTAAGTAGACAAAAGAAGCAGAACCCCTCCCCCCCCCCAAGCTAAGCCACTCTCCCCAGAGGCGCTCGCGCTTTTGTCCCTCGGAATATGATAAACCAGAAGAGGAGGTGTCTGCGCAGCTTCGTTATAAGGCCCAGAGCAGTAGCTCAACCGAAGAACGCTCTTTATATGGTGTCATCGTAGGAAACGGGGTCTTTTCGATGTGTCCCAGTCTCTTCATCACATACATATTTCTTTTCAGTGGTTGGTTGCGGGAAAGAGAGTGGGGTGCCACTTGGAAACACGAAGTGAGAACTCCCGACCTTTTTTGTCTCCTCCCTGAGGGAATGTGACCCGAGTTCGGAGCAGTGTCAAAGGCAGAAGGCTAATTTGTGGCGACTGGGGCCCCAAAACTGTCCTAGCCTGATATCTGAGAGACTCTGGAAGTGTCCGAGGTTTGCAGGGAGTCCTGGCTGGGGGAGGCGCTCAAGAGAGAGTTAAGAGTCTCCTTCTAGCTGGTGATGGGAAGGGGGGAAAAAGTTAGCGGACTGAGCTTCTCTCTCGGCGCTAGGCGAAAATCCGCGCTAATTTACACAGGGGCCGGAAGTCAGACTTTTGGAGTGGAGGTTTAGCGCGATCTGCCTGAACAGAAACTTTCCCTCCCCTGCTTCTCCTCAAGTCAATTTCGTTCGATAGTCTTCAGCTTCTGCCGCCCAGCTCTTTTCCCCTCCGTTAGCCCCCCAGCAGATTGGAAGCGGTCACTCCTGTCTGGCCGAGGGCTGTGAGGCTGGGGGCGGCTCCTGGGCAGGGGTGGAGAGGAGGAGGCGGCCCGGCTGCAAGCTGTCGGAAGAGGGAGGGGGTGGGTGGGAGAGAAGGACACAGAGTGAGCCCGGGGATGGCTGTGGGCTGCTCTAGAACTCAGTCGGCCACTGCTGTTCTGAGTGCCCGCTGCAGAGCTAACGAATTTTTGTAGTTGTTTTTGGTGAAGAAAGATAAAGTGGAGTCTGGGGAAGCTTGTTTGGCCTATTTGCTCCCAGTTTTGTATTGATCCCAGCCCACACGTCCTACCTAGCGGCATTGGAGGTGCTCCCCTTGTGATGTTAAGATCCGATTTATAAAACTTGTTGCAAACGAGGGACCTCAGAGTCACCTGTGTTGTCCTGGATGAGACTGTCAGACAAGCTTTTGACATCCCTCCCTTCTCCCCCCGTTCTTTTCGTCCCCCATCCTCTTAGCTATTCTGGAAGTTTCCTCATTCAGCAGGTCAGAATATATGATTTAGGAGATTTGTGCCCTTGCTTCCTTTCTTGCCTCACCTTTCCAGCCCTACCTCCAAAGAAAGTCAGAACGTAGGGAAGGCAAGGAAAATGTAGTTACGGAGGAGCCCAGCAGCCGGAACATGAAACTCTCAGAGTGGCTATCAGTAAGCAGATATTTTATGTTGTGAAAAAAGTGACCTGGAGAGACCTTCAGACACCTTTCCCAGATTTCTGGGTTCTTCTGAACTAAAAAGTCTACCTTATAAATACTGGATTACTACAAATGCCAAATTATTCTTTGTTTGGCAGTAATGTCAGATATAACCTGAAAGTTAATGCAGTGTAATGTTCTCCTCTCTCTTGCTCCTCTCTCACACTTATATGTCACTCTCCTCAGCAGTCTTCACCTTCAGCAACCCAGCTTCTCTCTTTCCCTCTTTCTGCTCAGCACTAGCTGTCCCCTTCTTTTCCTCCCAGTTGTATCTGCCATCGTGGAAGCTGATAGAACTGCCTCTCTAGGAATGGGTGGAAAGCTAGAGTTAAAGAGGTGTCTTTTCTTCTCTGACATCCCCTCAGAGCTAAAGCACCAGTATCCTAACAATCTCTAGCATATTTCACCCCATATAGACCTTATCTTCCCTCCAATTAAATTAAATCCATTTCAACAAGCATTTATTAGATGCCTATTACAGGCAAAACACTGTGCTAGGCACTGGGAATACAAAAACAAAAATGAAAACAGTGCTTGCCCTCCAGGAAATTATGGTGAAGAAACATGCACACAGGTAAGAAAATAGTAAATAATTGAAAGAGAGTTTAGCAAAAGTGCTAACAACTAGGGGAATCATGAAATGCCATTATAAAATTTAAATAATCAAATGTCCATCATTTCTGGCAGGAGCATGTCTGGCTAGTAACTATTAAATGTGTTCATGGCCAAAGAATTCTTCCATGCTGGCCAATCTATTAGTGGTGAACCTCTCCTTCCTGGGCTCAGGCTTGGTGGTAGTATTAAAAAAGAAAAGAAAAGAAAATGAGTTAATAGTCTTTATTTTATCCTTCAAATATCCCTCAGATTATATTAAGAATACATAATAATACTATGCTAATCTAAATATAGATAGCACCGCTAAAGTGAGATACTCTTGAAAGATATGAGTATATACACTAATAATTATTCATTAACAAATAAATACAAATATTCTCTAAGTTTAAAAAATATTTTAATTCAAATACTATTTATTTTTATAATTGCTACTTTTGATCTTCATCTTCATTCTCCTTTTCGAAATCTTCCCATAATACATACTGAGGATGCAATTATGTACTATACTTCAATTTCATACAAAACAGATTGGGAGGACAGGTATGGCCTATATTTAGACCAATATAGTAGCTTACTTAAAATTTACAAAGCATTTGCCTCACAATCTTGTAGTACATGTTTTATCATCTTCATTTTAGATATGAGGAAAATGAGGTTCAGGGAGTTGAAGTGAGCCCTCAGTAACATAGCTAGTAAGCAGCAGAACCAGAATATGAACCCAGGGCCTCTAACTAGAGTCCAAGCTCTCTCCAGCAAAATGGAATTCCAGTAAATCTTCTACTGCTTATAATGAACAGTTTATCTCCAATGCTCCTTTAACACTTAGGTCCCAGCTCTGCCACTGGTAAAGCTCATTCAGAATTACAGAGTCAGAATTCTCAGTTTCTCCAAAGATCCAAAGACTCCAAAGATCATCTAATATTATACCTGAAGAGGAATCCTTAGCAGTCATTCACTTCCTGCTCACAGCCCTACAAAGAAGGGAAGTCCCTAACTTTTGGGGACTACTCCATTTCTGGACAGCTTTAATGATTGGGAAGTTTTCCAGCTGTGGTTGGATGTAGACTGATTTCCCTGGCCTGCTAAAGAGTGAAGATATGTGTATAGGGACAACTATTTTATGCGCGCGCTCTCTCTCTTTCTCTCCCTCTCCCTCTCTCTCTTTCTCTCTCTCTCTCTCTCTCTCTCTCTCTCTCTCTCTCTCTCTCTCTCTCTCTCTCTCTCTCTCTCTCTCTCTCCCTCTGTCCTCTGTGTGTGTGTTTCTCTCTTTCTCAGTCTCTTCCTATCTCTGTCTATACCTCTAACTCTGTCTCCCTCCAATTTAGCTTTGTCCTTAATTTCAGGG